ATCTTCACAGGCGCACGGTACTAAAACAAACTGGCTCTGTACCAGCCAGAAGTAATGTTTTTGGCAGATGAACTTTCTGAACAGCCAATAAATTAAGGGATTCATGCTGGAGAAAACCATCCTCGTGACTACTGGAAAATGTATGCGTTGTTGGCGTTACATGGAAAATATGTTCATGGATGTGTGCATGCAATGTGTTTCTATATCTAAGCATGCATGCACATGCTTGCTGATAATGGCAAACACTATTGGGATGTAAGGTAATAAATTAACTTCATAATAAAATATATATATATACATAGTGCAATATAAACTGCGCATGTTGTAAGTCACAATTTAAATACAGATGCTTGAAATATAATTTGTAACAGCATTCTTCCCAAGTGTCCTTAAATAATAGGGTCAGTCCCAATTGTGGGCTCAAATCCTGTTGCCCCTCTTATCTATCTAAATGTCCCTCTTTTCTAGGAGCTCCTTATTGTTGGTGTGTCTGAGTGTTCAGAGCTTCACAGCAATAATACTCCCAGTAATGTGTCTTTAAATTACAATAAATGTGTTTAGAAAGCAGTCTGTGTAAATAAGATACATTGTCATCATAAATTACATTAAATTGCATTTATATTACATTAAAGTGTTAATAACTTTCTCTAGCACCTTGCTTCCTCTTCTGCAACTGTAAATCTAAAAAAATAAAAAAGAACACTAAGCCCTTGGTGAAAATGATTCTAGCCTTACCTTTTGTGTCACTATATCCCACTCTCTCACTGAGCAGGGCCCTCAACACCCGTTGTGCGTCTAACTAATTGGGTTACAAATACGTGTCTGTTTGTCCACCCTTTGTACAGCGCTACATAATTTGTTGGCACTTTATAAATAATAATAATAATCTATTTTAAAATGGTGTAAACTTTGATATATGCAGGGCTGTTCACTAGATTAATAATTCATAGTGAATTCACAAATTCAGCTCATTGAAGTGGTCTGGGTGCCTGGTCCCAGGGTCCCTTAACCCTGCAATTGTACTTATTGCAGTTTTGAATAAACTCCAATAATTACCTTTGAGGGTTAATTCCACCTCTAGTGGCTGTCTACCAGATCATTAGAAGACTTTTAGTCACTTAACTTATGCTGGACGTCCTCACACTATGCTATTAGGACTCCCAGTGTCATGTAAAACCCCATGGTAAGAATTATACATGCTTCCCTATGGGGGAAATACTAATGCAAGCTGGCTCATTTAAAGATCACTTTGAATTCTCACTTTATTAAATAAGCCTCTAACCATTCTCCAGTACCTGGAATGGACTTCTCGTGTAATATTCTTGTCTTTTTTCAATATTATCATTTTTTTAACTTTATCTTTTACCCTTAAAACTCGACCTTGCTATATAGTTATTCTCGGTTATCTGCATTGATACTCTGTATAGATTTATGTGAACTGGTTTATTCTTTTACATAGATCTCATATTTGCATATTGATGATGCCTGAGGAACCCATGAATGTTGTTTTACATCCCACTGCCACGAAAACCTAAAAGTTATAGGGTGAAGGTCACCCTATAGTAAAGTAAAACTATTTAATCTATTACATATCTACCAGATAGGAAGATGTTATCTAGATTGTCGCTCATGGTGTCCAATGATAGTTCAATGTGCAAGTCCCTGCTCTGGCACTCTTGACCTCTTGGACTAGCTTGACCATACTTAGTGATAACAGATAATCGTAGATCTGATCCAAATATGCTGAGATTACAGTCAATGGAAAGAGATTTAGTCAATATATGTTAAATCAAGCACACTATATAGAAGAGTTGCACTTTATGGTCAATGGCCATGGTAGTCCAGTTGTGGGATACTTTGATGCTGTGACAGACTAAGCTTCAGAAATCTTTGAAAGTAAGAAACATGAAGCTTTGAAAAATCTATATGTTATTTCATAACACCAGGTGATTTTCTCTGTAATATAGCTATGTTGTGTCTATCCTGGTTCTTTAACCTTTGACCCTCCGCTAAATAATCACTTAAATATTTCTTACTCAGTGTCATATTTGATGTTTTAAATTCCACATAGGATACTCATATAAATGGTAATGCTAACATTCACTAACATAATTTAGATTTAGTACACACAGTTTGTTAATGCACAGGAAGAGAACGTGTCTCTGTCCGAGGTGCTGAAATGTAATGTCTGAAACCTCAGATAATACCAATATACGCAGGATTTGGAATAGAGGACAAGCTTTGTCAATACACCAATTGTATGCCTCTCAATCCCATTTGCTTCTCTCGCACATTCTCTTGCTTTAGCAAGGATTTTCAATTGGTTTTCACCATTCTTTTGCTGGTATAATCAGCCTAATTGTTCCTATTGTACGGCCACAGCATGCATGAAAAAAAAACGAAGTATGAGGTGTGATTGTTGTCATTCTTTTGCCAGCTCTTTGTGGCTAATATTCTGATAGAGCCTGCTGGCTGTCATACAATGCAGTCTTTACATTCCCTGTTAATTGACACTACTAAATTTAGTACGTGTCTCTTTGCTGCTTTTATCATACAGAACTGATTCTTCAGTACCAGACTGTATTTTCACTTGCTAAGAAACCATCTTTTGATTGAGAAAATTGTTTTATGACATGATAGGTGTGATGCAGATTTAAGAATTCAACCTCACTGTTCTTATTGATCCACCCTGCTATCACATTCAGCTTTGAAATGGGCTGGGGGCATGCTGCGATTCCTGTCCTATTGTGTGATTCATATGGCAAATAGAATGTATATGATATATTATACAGCTCAGTAAATATGGTAGGATGGTAGGATGGATGGTAGGATGGATGGATGGTAGGATGGTAGGATGGATGGATGGTAGCATGGATGGATGAATGGATGGTAGGATGGATGAATGGTAGGATGGATGGATGAATGGATGGTAGCATGGATGGATGAATGGATGGTAGGATGGATGAATGGTAGGATGGATGGATGAATGGATGGTAGGATGGATGGTAGGATGGATGGTAGGATGGATGGATGAATGGATGGTAGGATGGATG